GAATGCTCATGAAGGAACGAGTAAAATTTTAGCCGAAGAATTAAACGGTGGATGTTTGCTGAGATATCACTCTGGAAGGCAGTAAGATCGAGAAAAATAGGAAGATTTTCGACCTTCCTCCATGGCATCGATCAGTTCAACAACACCACCAGCGACCAGTTCGGACCACGAATAACTGTTATCCTTTAACTGATCAATGTGTTTCTTTTTCAGTGCAAGCTTCTGATTTTCGACAATCAGCAAAGGGCGGCAAACTCGTCCCGCATCCGTGAAGATCCGAATTTCCCGATCACGAATGTCCCGTACCATCGACACCTCAAAACCAAGCACTGTACAATCCACATTTAAATTCCTCCAGAAATGGCAGAAATTAACACACCTCTACTTTATTTTTATAATAAACTTTTACGGCTTGCATTTTTATATTGTACGCATCAGAAATAACAAACTTCCGAAACGATGATATCCATTTCTCGTCGCAGTTTCTTCAGTGTAGTCATCAGTTGCTCCGGATCGCGATGTATGCCCACCCAAGCACCATTCACAAAGATCTTTGTCGCTTCGGCTATTGCTGACGGTGCTACCTCTGCAGTGGAATCTTACGATTTAAAAGTGATGGAAACTTATAAAGGAAAGGAAAACAGCGACTACCAATCAGCCCATGCACCCTACTACTTTGATTGGGAGAAGCAGCTACCCCAATGCCGTAAAGTTGCCCACAACCAAGCTGATGCCATGGATTCTTCCTAAGAGTACATCATCATCATCCACATTTCGCAGTCTGCCCCTCAGCTATAACCGTAGATGCATTTCATTAATGTCGTCATGGCCGTATTCCCCTGCGGACCGCCTTCGAGCATGGAAGAGCAGTAAATTTTCAAAAATTCTGATAACAAAAATAAAGCAAACCTTCTAGATTCTCCATCGACCATTCTTCCAAGAATTCGAGAATCGGTTCCGGCAAACTGCCAACCGATATATAAGCCATTAACGCCAAATTCTTCACCAAACCCACAGCTTGGCCCTCAGGAGTCTCGGCCGGACAAACCATACCCCACTGTGTGTTGTGAAGTTGCCGTGGTTTCGCCAATTTTCCTTCGCGGCCAATCGGCGAATTGCAACGGCGCAGATGTGAAAGTGTCGCTGTGTATGTCAGACGATTCAACACCTAAAACATTTTCAGATACGCACAGTAAACAGCAGTGGTGTCCTTCTCGCGCCGAGATTTGCTCCTTCCCTAAGGCAAAATATATATAAGCACCAGACGAAGAGGTACTTCGTGCTAGGATTCTTCCGGAAAAAACGTATTTCCATTAATTTTGTCAAAGATTTGTAAAATCAAACCTGGCTCACTCCGGCACGAGACTGATGCGCTTTCTTCTGGTCCCCCCAGTTCCCCGTTGCTAGTGAATAAGCAAGTCCTCGAGTGATCAGGGGTGTCTTCACGCATAAATCGAGCATG